TCCGGGTTTTCATCACCACGGTCTTATTAGCCGTTGATATTACTATTGCAGATATGGAAAGGGGGAGATGGGGGAATATGGGAGGTTATAATAATACATCAATGTTTCCAGGTCGGAGGTTATGTTACTTCAAGTGCTACCAGAAACGTCGAGTTGGGTACAGCAGAGATTCGGAGAATTTAAGATTGATGTCGACTTAACTCGTACGAGTATACGAGTAATAGCTACCCAATTATTTTTTTTCTTCTCATTGCGACGGTACTTGTACTCGCGCACGAGTATAATTCTCACGAACTACAGGTAGAAGCCACAAGTTAATATACCTTTCTTCCCCCCCTGAGGTTCGCATGACATCGTTACTTCTAACAGGATTCCTGTTCGTATCATGGAGGAAATAGGCGCGAAAGTACCTTTCTTGGCACTAGTGTAAGTTGTTGGAGCTGCTCCTTCCGTGCTCTGATCCGATATTACTACTACTCCTCCGGGCCCGTGCTTGTGCAATTAGAGCTATTACGAAGTAGGTAGTGCTAACTAGTTGCTCCTCGCAGAACTCGTACTATTACCCAATGATCAACCCTTCCTTTCCCTTCCCGTCCCGTCTCCGTCTCCCGTCGATACACACAGCGATCGACCCTCGGCGCACGGGTCTCCCCGACCAGGCCACCCACACACATCTTCATCAAATTATGTATACATGTCAGCTGCCCCCCTGTCCGAGAAACCCAGGGACCCGGGTCGTTCTCTCCGGGCAGGCAAAGAGATCGCCCCCAAAAGTTCCCCCCGATCATTATAAACCGTTTTTTTTTTCACATGCTGCATGCCCGCATATCACACATCCCCACTCTTATCATACTGGTAAAGTAGCACGCAAAGACACACGCAGGTTTATAAAGTAACTCGCACTCCGATCCTGTCACGAGCGCCCATACGTACGTAAAAAGGAGCAAGTACGTTAGTACTCGTAAATACAAGGTACCGCGGAACAGAATTGGAAAATGGCGCTAACAGCAGCTAAGGCCCGAGCTGGGCTTATTTGGCTCCCCCCCTCTCCAGAAACCATGACGTTCCCATTTCTTCAAGGGAAGAGGTGGGGGGGAAGAAAAGTGGAGATTAACAAAAAGGAGCCGACAAGGAAGTGAGCTTAGCTCCTTCTTGAGCAGGGTGTGGAGTAGAAACAGGGGCCAGGGGGGGATACCCATCGTACGAGAGCATGGGTGCCATGCCCGTGGCGCGTGGAAATGGAGAATTACCTACTCCGTACTTACTTTCCCTGCCTTCCGCGTTCCTGATGCCCACTCTTTAATCCTTACTCTCCTTACTTCTTTCTTACGTTCTCCCGGGGTTTCGTATTATCGCGTGTTTCACTCCCTTCGGGGACGATCTTCTCTTGCATCATACATTGCACACCACTCCCCACACCAAATTCCTCTCCTCTGCTCTTACCCCCCGGCCGCCCCTCCTCCACCGCGTCTCCCCCCACTCACCCCTCATACAACCCCCCTTCCGAAGCTCTAAAGGTGACAGAGAGGGGAGAAAGAAGGAAATATACTCAGTGCTCGTCTTTTGCGCCGAATCCTCTTTTTATATCGGTCCGGTGAAAAGGCCTATCCGAAGAGGCGAACAAGTCCGGGCGCAAACCCCGCCGATCCGATCCCCCGGCCCGGAACCCGGCACCCGGCGCGGGGGAGAGCCCAAACCAGGGAAACAAACAGGAAACGGGGAAAACAGGAAACGGGAAACGGGAAGAAAACACAATGGGCGTCGCGACCCTGTCCACCGCCCTCGCGGCCGGCGGCGCCGTCGTGGCGTATGTCGCCTACACGGTGCTCGACGGCCTGCGCGAGGGCATCAGGGGCGCGGAGAGGAGCGGGCTGAAGTATATCGTTTCGCGTGCGTTGGATA